TCCTGATCAAGAATATATATACTTTATGGGGTCTGCGATGATTCCTTCTGCCCGTTACATACTTTTCACTAAACCATTATACCCTGACCTCTCATTTTCAATGGGTTCAGGGTATACATACATATGTGCCATAATATATACCTACATGTTAAACATATATCATTAATATTCTTAATTTATAATAATACTATTATTGTCCGTCACGATTTGTGGCATTCGAATGCAGATTCAAATGCTCGAATCTTTCAATTAGCCAAGTCGCCCGAGCCGTGCAGTCCGGCTCGCGCGTCTACCAAACACGCCAACAAAAGAACTCACGGACTTCGTCAACTCAATAAAATCAACAATTGGCGAAGCTGATACTGAATTGATTGGTAATCGATAGAGTGAGGGCGAGAGTGGATGGCTGAGGGTGGTTGAGGGTGGTTGAGAGCGTGTTGTCACAAAGCCACCAGCAACTCGTTCACAATGTTATCCCAGCGGCAAACGGCGGGCTTTGTGTCCGCTTCTATTGCTTCTATTATTGACGTGTGGCATGTACAAATATATACAGCGCCGTTTACCGAAGCAATGTGTGGATTGTAAATAATGCGCATATTGCTCATACGACTTGTTGCCGCTGAGCCACTGAGCCACACATCGAGCCATCGAGCCATCGAGCCACTCGCTGTCAGTCGATAACGTCGCACAACTGTCACAGGCAAATGACTGCCATACATTTTCATTTCATTGTATGCTGCTGTAGCCCGGCTTCTCTTTAAAGAGCACCGGAAGAGCATGAATTGGCCAAGCACCAAATATGGCACACTGACTCATATAAGCTGTTGCACACTTGCAATAGTAATCCGATGTAATGCAAGATAAGCACCTGTTCACCTGTCATTCGGTGATTTAATGCCGTGTGATTAAGTTTGCTTTCAATCGGTTTATAGTTTGCACTGAAAATCGTTTTCGATGAGGCTGAATGCATATATACATTGACATATACATATACATATACATATATTTGTGAAGCCATTTAAGTGACAAATACCATGAAATGTTTGTTTGTATAGGTGATGAGAGCGGGAGCATTGCGCTCATTAATTGCAAATGCAAGTAAATCAGAATTGAATCAGCTGGACTAGACAGTCAGAGATCCCTTTTGTTGGCGCAATGACTCTTATTGGTTATGTTCCAATGTCTTTATTAGAATAAACACTAAATAATAATAATAAATAAATTATCTGCGCAAAGACAAATACAAA